CTGAGATTAAACATGTCATGCAGCATTGGAAAAGCAGGCTCAAATGGAAACAGTAAATGCAGGAGTTGTCTGAAGAGGGACAGAATGAGCTGCACAGACCCATGGAGGGGTTCGATGCACGTGGGCTCTCTCTTTTCTCACAGTGGTATTGAGAACTTAAATGGAGGGGATAGAGGTGTCTCCCAGGAGCTCTGGTAGCTTAGTGCCTAAGGCACTTGACTGCTAACCAGAAGGCTGGCGGTTCAAACCCACCAGCCTTCTGGTTAGCAGTCAAATGCCTTGGGCAATATGCCACCAGAGCTCCCATGCATAAATTAGGAAATGTAAAATCATATATGATAGTATATAATGCTAAAGCATATATAACATTTATGATCACATATACAATACACTATTCTGCAACTTGCTTTTCTCTGATACAAATATAGTAATTTAGGGGAGGGAAGAGCCCAGTCCTCAGTATCCTATGGTACTTAAGTTGTCAGGGCGAGGTTCCCAAGTTTCCTGTGGACCAGAATATGTCCTGAGAGGGTAGCTTGGACAGAGGCCTGCTCATGAGTAGCGGTGTACCTCTTTCTTTGCCCACACACACACCACCTGCCAGAGACCACTAAATGAAGCAGGTAGATGTTCATGGGGGAAAGGGGTATACCTCAGGAGGGTCATCACCAGGAAACTACAGAGGGGATGCCTGGATGAGTACATGAGGATCCCAGGATATGCCACATAGTAACATGAAACTGGAATATTCAATAAATGGTTCTGGGTTAACTGTTTACCAACTTGGAAAAAATAAATAAAATTAGATCACTAGCCACTTGCCCTAGCCCTTGTACAAGAGTAAATTCCAAGTAGATCCATGAGACAAAAATGCAAACAGAAATGTGGGAAATAATTAGAAAACTATACAAACCAAAAACCAAACTCACTGCTATTGAGTTGATTCTACCTCATAGCGACCCCTATTGGGTTTCCAAGGAGGAAAATCTTTACAGAAATATATTGCCCAGTCTTCCTTCTGCCAAGTGGCTGGTGGGTTTGAACCACCAACCTTCTGGTTATCAGTCAAACGCCTTAGGCACTACGTCACCAGAGCTCCATAGAAAACTATACAGGAGACTTATTTTTGTAATCGAGGGGTGGAGAAGCCTTTTCTAAGCCACATACAAAACCAAGCATCAATGAGGGAAAAATGGACCTTCAGGGTGAAAAGGAAGCCATGGACAAAGTGAGGAGGGAAGTGACGGACTGTGAGAAGGTATGCACAGTATCTGCAAAACACAAGAGATTGGTCAGTGCTCTATAGGACTATAGTGGACAGTGGTTGTTTTGGTTACTTTTGTGCTGCTCTAACAGAAAATACCACAAATGGGATGGCTTTAACAAACAGGAGTTTATTCTCTCACAATTTTGGAGTCTGAGGTCAAAGAACCAGGCTCTAGGGGCTGGGTGAAAGCCCCTCAACCTTGGGCTCCAACTCTGCCTCCTCCCCCCATCCCACTGAAGCTAGAGGCTTTCATTCACTCAGGCAACTGCTGGCTGCTGAGGCTGACAAACCCAAGGTCAACAAGTAAAAAGGCACAGTCCCAATGTTACCAAACAACATGGCAGGCCACTAATTCAAATCCAGAAGTCCTAAGATCAGCAGGGCATGGCAGGCTGTTGAATAATGATTTGGCTACATGCATAGTTTAATCATGCAAAAAAGCTGGAGACCTTCCTCAAAGCTGGTGCTTATATATAGGAAGCAGACCACATCCCTAAAGCAGCTACTCAGCTGCTTGTGGTAGATCCCACCATGGATTTGATTGTCAGTTTCATCATGGGGAACAACTACAGTAGATCCCACCATGGAATTGATTGTCAATCTCACCATGGGGAATAACTACCTTCAGCTGCCCAGCCACTCAACCAGGCCCAGCCAAGTTGACAACAACCTTAACTACCACACTGGCACAGCACCATCTGCATCTTAGACCAATCAGGACCCCTAGAAGGGACCCAGGAGCAAGTCCTCACCAAGGCTGTCAAACTCTTAGCTACGTGTTGCTGCAGTATACAGATTATCTTGGCAAGAATTGTGCCAGTCCACAGGTGGCACTTCAAAGTGAGAGGACTATGGTCTAACACGCTTTGAGAGTGGGACATAGGGCCCTGATGAGGATGCATCATAATTGGGAAGCTGGCTATCTGAAATCCGTAGGTGCACTTATTGGTTTGAGCTTTGAACCACAAAATCCTGGTGAGTGGTAGCAAGCAAGGGAGGGCCCTGGGATTTAGTGTATACGTCAGTACCTAAAAGTGCCCGGTGTAGATGTAATATTAAGATGATTAAGAAGCAAAAGCAAAATCAGAGGCCTTTCTGGAGCTGGAAGGCAGTCCTAGATTACACAACAGATAGCCTTGGCTGGAGTGCGACCGTCAAGGCCAGAGCACCTCCATGCAGAATGTGACAAGCTCAGCTTTGGTGACCTTGTCAGAATGTTTGCAGTCAAGAACCCCAGAAAGGATCTCTTTTAATTGTAGCAAACAGATCAGTTTTGATGGTTTGGTGGTTATGTTTTTATTTAGGTATGGGAAGGGGCACCCAATACTTAGAGCCTCCAGATGTCTTAATCAGGCCCTGAGTGGTAGGCATTGTCCCTTTTGTCCTCCATACCTAGGCAGAATCCATTGGGAACTGGACACATACCTAGCACAGCACTCAGTCAAGAAATAAAGGATGGAATAAAGTGGATGTGCTTCTAGACACAGGAAGTGTTGTCAGGAAGTCAGTGCCAGTGAATACAGAGGAGAGGTTTGACTGGGTTGAAGCCACATGAAGGAGATATTTTTATATTGGCAGGCTTCTCTATGACAGAGCTGCCAGAAAGATGGGCAGAAAGGCTCCATGACCCTCCCTGTGCCAGGCGTGAACTGTGACATTAAAGCATCAAGTACCTCAGAGATCGTGGACAACTAATTGCCTGTTGTTGTTGTTGTTGTTGTTATGTGCCGTCGAGTCAGCCCTGACTCATAGCG